TTAAAAAATGGGAAGAAGTTTAATTAATAAACTAGAAAGTTTGGTAATTGCAGTATAAAATTTGCAGGTATTGGAGGAAACTAAAGAGGTATGTTATTTCAATTGAGATTTTAGTAATCTCTTATAAGGATTATGTTGTGTAAAATTTTGTATTATGATTGTGTTGTGTAATTTATCATTGATTATTGATTTTTATTTTTATTATTTTTGTTTTTACATGAGACTGATGCCTTCAGATGAGGGGACGAGCTTAAAAAGGGAGGGATTATGTTGTGTGTAATTTTTTATTATGATTGTTTTGTGTAATTTATCATTGATTACTGATTTTTATTTTTATTATTTTTGTTTTTATATGACTGATGCCTTCAAATAAGGGGACGAGCTTAAAAAGGGAGAGATCACCCAGTTATTATGAAGAAACCTAGTTATTATGAAGAGAAGAGGGCAGGATCACCTAGTTATTATGAAGAGAGACAACAAACCGTTAATAATTTTTTGCACACAAAGTAAATGTGACAATAATAAATTTAATATCAATGTGGTAGACAAACTAAAAAAACCTAAATATAAAAGAGACAAGATAAGGAGAGATATATAATGCACATGACAAAAGCGCAATCAATAACAAAGTAAAAGATATACAAATATAGAGAAAGAGAGAGGATGTACATGTGCATTAAACCATAGAGATTATTGACCCAAAAAATGAGGAGAAAGGAGATAAATTAAATGCACAACAATGTGCAAATAATTAAAATCAGAGCAATATAAAAGATAAGGGTGTAATTTATCATTGATTTTATTTTTATTATTTTTGTTTTTATATGACAGCAGATGCCTTCAGATAAGGGGACGAGCTTAAATAGGGAGGGATCACCTAGTTATTATGAAGAGAGAGGGTTTAAGAAGTTTTTTTTAATCAAGGATAAGGTAGGAAAAAGGCATGCGAAAGATTTCCCAAAATTACTTGTCACTCTTGTAATAGATTTTTCATCTATCAGGCATCATAGATTTCCTGATTTTTTGGGAAATCTCGCGTAATCTTTTTCGATTTTCTTTAGGATTAAGTGTACCCAAATAGTGAAAATACCCTATTTTCTTGTAATCTATTCTCACATAATAGATTTCTAGGTACCCAAACGACTCCTTAGACAAAGAAGACGAGATGAGGTGACCATCTTACGTAATAGATTTCCAGGTACCCAAACGACCCCTTAGTTAGATTTCCAGGTACCCAAACCCTTAGTTAGAAAAAGAAGACGAGAGGGGATGACCATCTTACATAATAGATTTCCAGGTACCCAAACGACCCCTTAGAAAGAGAAGACGAGAGGGGGGTGACCATTTCCTTTGGAGCCCGGAGACAGAGAGAGGAAAGTGGTATGGGAGAAAGAAACGCAAAGGGAGAATAAGAGGTGGATGCAAAGAAAGAAAGCAAGAGAGAGAGAGAGTGGGGCCGGGGTGACCACGGATCTCTCAAAGGACCACAAAAGAGCAGACAATGTTTTTCAGAATGGTGGTCTTTTTGAAGCAGAAGGTGAACTTCTTGTGAAGAAAATTACATAGGTGCGTCTAAATCAAATCGTGCTGTATTTTTTAAGCTGATGGGTTGAATCAAGTTTAGGGAAAAGGCTTTTGTATGTTTTTCGTTAATTTATTTTCCCTGATATGTTTGTTGAGCTTTGTTAATTTTTAGACTTTTGAGTTATGTTAAATTTGGGGATTTTTATGTGATTTGAAAGTTCTCGATCAGATTGTCCTCTATTTTCCCTAATTTCTTTCAAATGTTGTTGAATTTAGGGATTTTTAAAAGCTATTGTTAAATCTATACTTCAATATAAACAGTGGTTCTCTTTCTCTAAAGCATGTATTATAAACAGTGGTTATCTTTTCTCTCTCTATACCCATCAACCATTTGTGATGTAGTTTAATTTGGGGATTTTTTAAACTTCTCTATCTCTGTTTTTATCTAATTTCTTTGAGATGGTTATCTTTCTCTCTCTATGTACCTGTCGATGAGATGTTATCTATCACATGGTTCTCTCTCTCTTTGTACTATGGAGTATTATTAGTAGAAACATTTTTTTGAAACAACTTATTATAAAAATTAAAAAAACACGTATTAAACTTCTTCATTAAAAAAAGGGTGTGGTTTGTATAGAGCCTAGGCTCTAAATAATCAAATTAGAGCCACCTTCAAATACTATCAAGAAATGTGGTTTCAATATTAGAAATATTTGTGATAGCTTTAAATATCTTTTATAATTTATTTATAAAGTTTAAAGCTTCAAAATAAGTGTAGATCGAAATATCTATGAAAACTTGAAAATTGACGTTCTAAAAATGTGTTACAAAATACACTATTTCCAAAACTTGAAATCTAGTTTTTTCTCATGTCCATGCTTTTTGATGTCGAGATGATCAATTTGAAGATATTTGAACATCAAAACAACCTCTTTTAGCAAAAATTTTGATATAGGTTCAAATTTGATTGTTTAGAGCCTTGGCTCTATATAAACTTTTCCCTTAAAAAAATGTGATTTTTTGACGCTCTTTTGAAAAATACGCACTTTAAAATGTTTCTTAAAAAAAAACTCTGATTTTTTTCAAAAAAATCACTTGTAAAACGCGGATTTTCAAACTATGGTTTTTATATGGCTGAGGCCATTGTTCGCAAAACCGGCTGGTTAGAACCGAAACCGGCCAGTTAGATCACTACCGGTGGGGTGGCGATTCCGGTTAGGGCCGATTTTAAGGTACACCAGGTAAGACGACACACCCCAAAAAAATATCGAGACCAAAACCAGCCGGTTCAATGTCGAACCGACGGTTTTTCTTCAAAACCGACAGGTTTTCCTAACCGGTCCGGTTTACCGTTGTTTTTGTCCGTTATAACGCCATGTTAACACATCAAATTACAATGGTTATTTGACACAGACCTGTTATTTTTCATATAACAAGTTTTTGCAGCTTTTTTTTTCTTCAATTTTGTAGTTCTTTTTTGTTTTTTCGGTCAAATATTGATGGTATACACTGTAAAGTTTCTATAGATCATCTATTATTGAATCAAAAGTCGAAAAACAAAGAGTTCTTGGCGGATTGAAATGGGGATTTTTGAAAATTAGAAATTTCTGCCATTCTATCAAATGCAACTTTAATACCTCATATATTTTTTATAAAAATGGAGGGCTTTGATTGATTATTGAAGGATTCAACGTTTACATATTTCAATTTTTCCAAAACGATGAAGATTTGAGGGTTTTTGGGCTCGAAGTACTGCTGCTCGAAGAACTGTTTTTATCTAAACAAATTGATTTCTGATCAATCAGTTGATCGATTTTTATCGAATTGATCACTGAAGTTTCATCATAAATGCCTTATCTATCAAATAAACTAGTTATTTTGATTTACTACTAATTAAATGTTTTTATATCGATTTTTTTTGCTGTGTTTTTTCCTGAAACTTTCGTGAAGTGAAAAATCCGCAATTTTTTGAATAAAGATCTCAATAGTGAATAAATTTTCATGAAATTTGGGGCATTTGAATCTTAATTGAAGTATCTATCATATCTCCATGTCAATTTGTTCAAAAAATGAAAGATTTGGGGTTGATTTCGACTTTAAATTTTTTGTATTATTTGGCTCGATTTTAGGGTTCTTAAAAAAAATTTTGTTTTTTAAATAAGATTACGTTTTGTTTTTATAAAAATATGTAATTTGTAATGAATATGAGAAAAAAATAATATATATTTTTTTTCTAAATTTTATATATTTTTTGGTGAGCTTGTTGGATTGTTTTTAATGTTATATATTTTTTTTTTACAAAATATGTTTTTTTTAATGAATACGAGAAAAAAATGTTTGTTTATTTTTAATGTTATATATTTTTGGTGAGTTTGTTGGATTGTTTTTAATGTTATATATATATTTTTATAAAAATATTATTTTGTGATGAATATGAGAAAAAAATTATTTCTTTTTAAGGTTATTTTTGGTGTATATTATTGATGTCTGTGTTCTCAACTTTTTGTTTAGTTGTGACATTTTCTTCTAATTTATTTTTTATTTGTTTATCATTTGTTGCAACTTTATACTCTTTAAATCTGTGTACTAGCCTCTATGAAGAAAAGAGGTATAAACTAAAAAGTATTTTCCTCATCTTTCCACATGTTGAACTAGATAAAAACTTAACCTGTTTTTTTTTTAAAAAATATGCATCTTAATTTTACATTTTAAAGTTGCCATCTTATATAATTTATTTTATTTCATGTTAAAACCCAACTCAAAAGGTTACTGAGTAAATGAAGTTTGGCTATTTCAAAATCGATTTGGCCATTTGAAATCGACTTGACCATATTTTTTTAAAACATGGCCCTTTGAAGCAACAAACACCTTGACCCACACCCTGCATTTGATAAACAAGTTACTAAGTAAATGAGGTGCTCTCTCTTATTTCCTCGACTCACAACCCTTCGAAAATTTGAGAACATCATGCTACAAAAAAAATGGACCCTCTCAAACCCAATTCTAAACCATACTAAAGGTTTTTCAACATTAAAACAACATTTTTCAATATCAACTTTAAAACAATATAGAAGCATATATTGTTGTATCATTCATTTTTAGTTGGACTTTGTAACTTTACCCTTTGAATTTATCTGAAATTATAAATTGTCTTGCACATTTTTATAATATTTCAAATTTTAAAATAAATAAAAAGTTGTTTTAAATTTTTTTATAAGATAAATATATGTACTATGATGGTGCATACTTGATCTAAGTTTTTATATTGTTTTAAAAACTTTTTTTGGAGAATTTGATCCATCTTTTTTAAAAAAAATCTATTTAATCGCTTAACCTAGTTGACCGCTCCAATTGGTCCCGCTCCGGTTCGAACCGCTCCCAAGCTTACCGGTTCCGGGTCCGGTTCCGGTTCGATGTTGCGAACATTGGCCGAGGCCTGGACAACCAAAGTAAAGCGCAAGATGAAAATACTTTCCTGCGTATGAAACGTAGATGCGAATTGCGAAATAAGTAGTAGCAGGAACGTAACTTGCAGGAATGGTGGCTGCAGGAATGCGCAACAATTTCATGTGTAAAGGCCCAATACTTTCCTCCAACTTCCATACATGAAGGAGAACGGACAGAAAATACAGTTAGGGGAAATGGCAAAAGATTAATCCCTTATGAAGAAACTACACTGACAGAGAGAGATGGTCATTAATGGGGAAGCCCGCATTTTTTAGCTGATTTTCTTCCCTTCTGACTGTCCTTACTGGAGAAGAAGCTGTTCTCTGATTTAGAAGTTGATTCCATCTCTCCTGGTAAGCTCTGGTTCTTTTCATGGCCTTGCACCTCAAAACTTTCCGTTTCTTCTCTGCAAACTCGCTTTTCTCTTTCCATTTGATCCCTTCTTTCCTTCATTTACACGCTGGTAAAACCCATGAAGATCAAGGTGGAGAGCCGGTACCTTTTACCTCTATACCCAAAACCCCAGGCCCTGTTGAAACTGCCGTTTCTCTTTTCTCCAAGCCGTCGTTTCATAGGAGTGGAGATGAATTGAGAAAGCTTCAGAGCTCTCTTACCACTGAAACTGTAGAGATCATTCTTAAAGGTTTTCAAAAATGGGGTCAAGCCTATGAGTTTTTCTTGTGGATTGGGCAACAAGATGGGTATAAACACAACTGTTACACCTATAATTCGATGGCCTGTATACTCTCGAGGTCGGGCCAGAGAATTCCATTGAAGGCCCTTGTGAAAGATTTAATGATTCGGAGGTGTTCGATGAGTCCTGGTGCTTTAGGTTACTTGATTAGGTGTTTGGGCAATGTGTGTTTAGCTGAAGAAGCCAATCATGTTTTTGAAAGGGCCTGTGATTTGACTTGTGAGCCCAATTCTTATACCTACAATTGTTTGTTAGAAGCTTTGGCAAAATCGAAGCGGTGCGAGCTAGTAGAATCAAGATTCAAAGAGATGATTCATAGTGGGAGGGAGCCTGATAAATTTACTTATACAGCTGTCTTGCAAGTTTACTGTAACTCGGGGAAAATCGATAAAAGTTTTGATATTTTTGAGAGGATGAGAGGGAAAGGATGGTTAGATCCACATGTGTTTACTATACTGATTGTTGGGTTGAGTAAGTTGGGTGAGGTTGATCACGCTTTTGAATTAGTCGAGAGGATGAGAGAGATGGAGATGGACCTGAATGAGAAAACGTACTGTATTCTGATTCATGGGTTCGCCAAGGAAAAAAGAATAGACAAGGCACTTGTGCTTTTCGACTGGATGAAAGGGCTCGGGTTTGATAGGGATATACCTCTCTTCAAGGTTCTTATTGAGGGGCTATGTAACAGTAAGGAGTGTGCTAGAGCCTTGGAATTGTATCATGAGATGAAAGATTCCAGGCTCTGTCCAGATATTTCAATCTTGACAGAGCTGATTTCCTCATATTGCCAGGAAGGGGATCTTGTTGCTGCATCTGAGTTGTTACAAGACGGAAACAATTTGAGCATTGGCCCCTTTGTATCTCTGTATAATGCAGTTCTCGAAGGTCTTGTTAATGGCGGCAAGGTACATGAAGCTTATTTGCTTCTCCAGGAAATGATAGCTTCCAAAAATTTATCAGTTGAAGAGGTAGCTGGATGTGCTAGTGACAATGAAGAGGTAGAGAATATTAAAAACCTTGTTAAGTTTGAGAAAACTGTAATACCAAATTCGGAGTCATATAGTATTGTTATTGATGGTTTGTGCAAGTACCAAGAACTAGATAAGGCCCTAGAGCTCTTGCATGACATGACTGCAACTGGGTGCATAGGAAACTTGTTCTTATACAATAACTTGATCCACGAGATGTGTAATGCTGATAGACTTCAGGAAAGCTTCAAACTTATGAAAGCAATGAGGGATTCAGGTCTTGAGCCAAACCACTTCACTTACAATTCAATATTTGGTTGCTTGTGCAGAAAGGAAAAGGTGTCTGATGTCCTTGATTTGATGAGAGAAATGCGATATCATGGGCACAGCCCATGGATAAAACATTATACCATGCTTGTGAAGAGGCTATGCACTCGTGGCAATGCCATGGAAGCATGTCAGTTCTTAAGTGACATGGAAGAGGTCGGCTTCCTACCTAATGTCATTGCATATTCGGCAGCCATTGACGGCCTTTGTACGATAGAGGAATTGGATCATGCTCTTAAACTATTTCATGACATGCATGCCCATGGGTATGCTCCTGATGTAGTTGCTCATAACATACTTATTCATGGGTTTTGTAAGGCCGGAAGAGTTGATGAGGCCCAAGGCATAATTAACGAAATGATGGAGAAGGGGCTCGTTCCCTCTGTGGTGACATATAACTTGATGATAAATGGGTGGTGCAAGGTCAATAGGACTGAATTGGCACTTCTTTGCTTTTCTAAAATGGAAGCTCAAGGGAGGCCTCCCAATGTGATCACATACACCACCTTGATAGATGGGTTCTGCAATGAGGAGAGAGCTGATGATGCCATAATGCTCTGGCATAGAATGATAGATCAGGGATGTGCCCCTAATAGAATAGCTTACATGGCCCTAGTCAATGGATTATGTAAGTGTGGAAGAGCTAGTACAGCTTTACAGTATTTTCATGAGATGGAAGCCAAGGCTTTCGATCCTGATGCCTTTATTTATGTGGCATTAATAGATTCTCTCGTTAGCATAGCTGATATGTTCTCGGCTTTTAGGATTTTGAGAGAAATGATTCGAAAAGGAAAGTGTCCAAGTCCCTCTGATAAGCATTATGCTTTGCTGCTAGAATCATTATGCAAAATGTATGAAGATAAGCATATTTCTTCAGATGTAAATGCTCTTATCGAAGATGGCGGCATTCCAATGATCCATAGTCCCTCTGTTCTTGGAGTGGGTATTAGGAATCAATAAAAGTTTCCTGTGAGATTCTTGATGATGCTGGGGGGAGGCAGTGAAATACATTCATGGCAACCTTTATGTATTCTGCCTGGTTATACCAAACATTTGTCATGGATTCTGCGAAGTTTCTAATTTCCTCAAGCATTTGACAAGGTATGGTCCATCAAAGTTTTTGTTCTGGATTACTCATTGTTATCCTGCTGTGTGTTTTATCCTTATGTTCCTTTCTCTGTTACTATGCAAGTGATATGTTTAGTTACATTACCTGATCCTTTTATATATCATCGTTAAATGTCAATGAGATAAGTGTAATTTTTGAGACATTGTTTATGTTTATATATATGGCAATAGTACTACAATTAATGGAATAAGAAGAAGCATTGTCCATTTGGGCCATCGCTGTCTCCTGACATGATGGATGGTGAGACTGTGAGAGTGTGATGTTTCGATCACTCTTCCAACTGATAACCTATTTGCAACAAGTATTGTGTCTAGGATACTCTGCCTGCTTGTCCTACAATGATTCTGCATTTTAGTTCTCCAGTTCTTCCCTCACATCGCCCCACCCCAACAGAAGTAAGAAACATACATCCTTCAGGTATGCCTATTGTTATTTTGTTGTGGAAGTTAATTGAGGAATGGGTCCGCACACTTGCATCAATAAAGAAATGACATTTAAATCCGCAAAAGGTATCCATATTTTGGGTGAAAGGAAGATTGGAAGAATCAATCCTCACATAATGAATAGGAGATTCAAGGAAATATATGATTGAATGATGTAGGTCCTCCATAATCAGTTTGAGCATTCAAATAAGGAGTGACTAACCTTCTTGTTTTTAGCCCATACTCACACTTGAATTTCAAGTACGAAACTACTCTGAAATAAATGTCAACTATTCAAATGGGTTATAATCTTAATGTTAGATGTGGATGCATTACACATTATGTGGCCGCATCAAGCCATAGCGCATTTGGCTGCCTAGGCGGGCTTACATGATGCACCGACCTAGGCGGAGCGTAGTTCTCATATGTGGGTATATCGCCCTATGCAATGCACTTGCACATGCAAACTTGTGGTGGAAATGATGCCCACAAGCAGGGGCAAACAATGTCATTTTACCCTGGTAAAGCTTTTGAAAGTCGATGTCTTTTTTTATTTTGAAGTTTCCAGCAAATATCAAGTTGATCTTGTGCTACATTTTTGAATGGTTTTGGGTTTTTTTTTTAGTTATGAAGGGTTTCAAGGGGCAAGGAGCCATGGAAATTAAACCAAGAAATCGAAATTTGTTTCCCTTTTTAATTCATGAATTTTTGTTTCTTCGACGTACTTATGAAGTTCTTTGGAGTCTTAGTATTTGGGTATATGCTATGCTGCACTTAGGAGAAATGCTATTTTATTTGTTGGGGCTTGGTTGGTATAGTACATATTCCTTTATGTTTTATTGAGTCTAATGGCTTCATTGGATCATTTTGTTTTACATGTTAATCATCGTTAGAGATTAGAGAGAGAAAATGTCTCCCTTACTCTCTATCAACAGCTCATACAATATATATGTTAGGGACAAATATTATATTAAAATGCCTACTATCACATGAATCACATATTCATCTTATCTTTTGTTGTCTTAGAAATTTTATAGTTCTTTTTAAAATTAATTTCCCCCATCATAGTGATTCACACCACATTGCGCGACATAGTGCATCAGACTCCTCTCGTGCCTTGAGTTTGCATTCCACAATTGTTAATCTTGATTAAGAACATATTATCGACTCATGGGGTTTCTGCTCATCAACAGGAAATCATGGTGCTTCATAGGGAAGGACAATCCATGTTGCTGCTTTATGCTTGTCTACTTGAACAGGACATAGACATATGTCCATATGGAGTTGATAAAAGGGATGAGAGTGGGTCTATGTAGAAAATGTTACAGAAAGAAGGTACATCCATTCAAGGAACAGATCATTTCAAGATTCCTGTATCTGGCAAGTCAATTATATATCTTCATTGCAGAATAATGGCAGGATGTATTATCTTGATCTGGTAGAATAAGCTAAATATTTACCATTATAATTGTGACAGGGAACTACATTTCTGTATGAATGTTTGGCGAACTACAAATAAAATGAAATAAAATACATACAAGAAAATTTATTCCACTATTGGTTTCTGCTAAGTATAGGAGAACGGATAAGAGAGAAAGAAAAAGTAGCTAGATAGGATATCAGGTTCAACTCTTCCTAGGTGATAAGTTACTCTTGAGAGGCTAGATAACAAAATTTGATGAGACCAATTGATCGCTCACAATATCTTTGGGGCTGCAAAAGGTTGGTTCTCTGGAACCTACTTAACATAAAGCATTAGAGGATGAGCTGTGTGGAGTAGGATCAATTTGCCAATTACTGGATCACCATTGTCAGTGTACAGTTTACTTGTAAATTCCATGGAGTATCAACTATCTAGATGACTTAGTTATCTTGAGATGTCAAAGAATAAAAAAGAAAAAAATAAAAAAAAAAGCGATCTCTGGTCAGATGTGACTGTCTATGCTTCTATTAACAATTATGACTCCAGGCGACTAATTATATAAGGAATATGAAATGGCTCAATGTTTTTATTTGAAAATGTGACTCTCTATGCTTCTATTAACAATTATGACTTCAGGTGACTAATTATATAAGGAATATGAAATGGCTCCATGTTTTTATTTGAAAATGATCTTGTGACATCTGCTTTAGGTGTTACATAATTACATCATCATCAATGGTGTCATCCGCATGGACAAGAATATAACTCTTTTATAACAGAAAAAATAAGGTGTAATACTTTGCTACTTGAATGCTCAACAATTTATGAAAGCACATACACTAGAAAATACTCAAATGATATCCTCAACACTTGGTGGGACCAGATAGCTTTTTTTAATTGAAGATTAAAGTCAGAAAGATATGTTCAAGGTGGTGTTCTCAACCACAAGATGTAACAATAAAGAGGAAGACTCACACAGTGGAGAGCTAATGAGCTTGCCATCTGTTTAAGACTGAAGGGTTCTCCTCATAATTATTGCGATACACTTGTACTTATCATCGGTCATGTGTCTTGCAATATAACAACTGGGACAACCATATACCAATGCGTAGACTGGTTCATAAGTTGAAGACACACATTCAGTTGTGTTTGTCTCGCACACCTCCAAGTTTCCAACCCTGCCATTATGTTGGTACAGGGTGGTTCCTTGTCCCAGGGCTATTCATTCAGTGGTAGCTGGCTACCCCTGTTTGCGCTCTGAAGTCACAGGTATATCTGTTTAGGGTCTTAACTAATGGGAGGAACACAACATCCCACATATGATTCTGCTCAAACTCATCAAGCTCCGCTTGGATGGATTTCCTCATGCTTGCAAGTTCTTTGTTAGGGTTCAGTTTCATAAAATAACAGAGTCCAGGAAAGAATGATAAGTTAGTGATGATTCCAATCCAAAATGTATGAGAGGAATTGCAACGTGATAAAAGATACAAAGAATAGACTGGGAATGGAAGGGCACCTAATGATGCTCCTTGGAGCTTTCTATTGATGTCGTTGATGAGGTACAGGATGGAATCAATGTAACTGTTTAATAGCAACTCTATGTCTTTCTGAAGCATGAAGGTCTTCAATACAAAGGAGTTTCATTTGATACACGTGAAAAAATTAGGAAGTTGGAAATTGCTTTGAGCAAGATTAAATGATTATTTTGCCATGGAAGGAATAGCTTCAAGGACATCTTGAATGTCCTGAGTACCCCTAAATGCTGTCCATACATCAGCATGCCCTTGGCATGCCAAATGACTGCCCTTCATCTTTATTATTGCAAGGAAAATATGTAGTACTTACCATAGTTACTACCAGAATCTCTTTGCCAAGGCCGTGATTCTGGTTCGGAAAACTGATTCGGCAATTCCATTAATGAATCTTCACCGAAACTATTTTCTGGAACCAAGGAATCTTGATTCCTTAATTTAGAAATCTCGTTATCAATGGTTGCTTTTTTTGGCATCAATCATTTTGGCGTCTGTAATATCACACTGGTAATCAATGACAACATTGTTGTGGACGTGTGGGGGCCTCAGCTGGCAGCTTTGTCACCATTGACACAGGAGTTGGTGCCTCCAACGCCAGAGCATGGCAGTACATAAACATAGTGTTAATAGTTTCAACATCATCATATAATGTTCGGTGTTTCATCAGCAGTTAAAGGGTCAAAGATTTGATCATTCTCATTCTACATTGGTAATAATGACGTGAGCGTTACTGCCACTAACGTTGTAATCATGTGACCTGCTTTCAACATGGTCAGAGGTCAAAGATTTGGTGTGTTAGTATCCATGATGCGAGTGTTACTACCACTGACGTTGCACTCACACGACCTTCTTCAGACCCTGTTTTCAGATGGACTTTCGAGCCAATGATTTGGGATCATAGTAGCAGATGACGTTAACGTGTCAAGTGCCATCATTAGTGGCTTTAACGCGCATAATCATAAAACTTCTTGCGGGATTTGATTTCATGGATTTGACCCATGGCTAATGACCTGTCCGTACTGTGGCTAACATTGGGTTTTTTGTTCGGTGCATGTTAATCCTCCTGACTCTCGCATGGGCGGCCTTGACGCACTATGATGTGAGTCCCTTGTGTTTGTGCCAATGGTCTTGATTTTTGTGTTAATGCTCTGGACTCCCACGTTAATGCCATTGACCCCTGTGTTGGCAATGTTGATGCTCTGCATCAATGGTCTTGACTTCTGAGTTAATGTTGTTAACACTGAGGGACTAGAATGGAATTTTCAGTGAACAAATTCTTTCGGGGCATAACCCTCAAACCGTGTATCAGATTGAGCGATTCATCAACCATTGGAAAGCTTATGATTCTACTTCAATTTGACTACTTCAATTTGAGATTTAATTCGAACCCAGAAGGCGGATTTTAGAAGGGTTTATAGGGCTTGGGCTTGGATTCTTAGGTGTTTGTTTTTAGGGTCATGGGTGTCAAAATTTGGTTTCTTGGAGTTGTTAGGCTCTAGGGTAACTAACTTGAGGTATTAGGTGCGTCTCAAGTCTATGGTTTAGGTTTTAGAAGTTGTCCCTACAGTTTATGGGTTTTTGATTTCCTGAAATTCCCTTAGCTGGGAATGGGGTGTCTACACTCGACCAAGAAACATATCCATCTCCAAAGAGAAATATATGTCATGAGGTTGATTTTCTATCATCCAGGTCTCCTACAAATTTTGCATCAACGTAATTGCTAAGCTCTAATTTATGTGCATGGAAGCAAAATTTATAGTTTTAGTCTTTTATGAATATACCTAAGTATCATTTTAATGGCTCGCCAATGAGTCATCCCAAGATTAATCTAAAATCTAAGACCAAATGTGCAACTCAAATCAGGTCTTGTGAATAACACAGCAATGACGTGCATTATATACCATACAGCTTGAGCGTATGAAATTCTTTCCATTAGCAATTGATGGACACATTTTCTTTGAAAAATTTCAGCCTTTACAAACGAGTATATCTACAAGTTTATAATTTTTCATCTCAAATTTCTTTAAAAAAGCTATCAAGATAATTATCTTGTAATAAACATAAGAGTCTTGAACTTCTATCCTTGTCATCTTAATGCCTAGTACAAAAGAGGCTTCTCCCATGTCTTTTATGTCAAAATACGAACTAAGCCAAGATTTAGTATGGTTAATCATGCCAGTATTATTATCACCTAGTAAAATATCATCCACATATAAAAATAAAATAACAAAATAACTCCCACTATTCTAGACATATACACAATGGTCCAATATATTGGTTATATAACTACTTCACTGATTGCATTATGAAAGGTGAAGTACCACTACATAGAATTTTGTTTTAGTCCATATAAAGATTTCTTAAGCTTGTATACTTTGTTTTTTCGATCATTAATTACATATGCCTATGATTGAGCTTATATAAGTATCATTTTATAATTATTCATGCAAGGAAGTTATTTTAACATCCATTTGAAATAATTTTAAATCATAATATATAATTATTGCTAAAATGATCCTGATGGATGTAAAAATTGGCTACAAGAGAATATGTATACAAAATCTATTCTCTTCTTTTGGGTAAATCATTAAACTACCACTCTAGCTTTATATTTTTTTATGAATCCATTAGTATTAAGCTTTTTCTTTGGAACCCATTTGCAATCAATGTCTTTTTCATCTTTAGATAAATCAACCAACTCCCAAAATTAGTTCCTTATAGTGGAATTAATTTCATCATCCATGGCTGTATGCACTCAATTAAGTCATGTGAGCTAGTCGCTTCACTATAGCTTTAAGGTTCATCTATTGTACAATCACTCATTAGTGAATAGTTATATTCATTCATGAACACATAAAATTTATCTAAAGTGTTAAGTGGACCTCTATTTCTCCTTGGTCTGTCTGATATATTAGATTCAAGGGAACCATGCTCACCAATTGTAGAGGGAAACAAAGTAATAGGGTCTTTGAGACATTTATCTTTATCAATTTCATATAAGTTAAAATAGGCCTATGTAATGTATGTTCATCATCTCTATTTTTTAAGAAATGGGCATCAAGGCTCTCTACTAAGAATCTAATATTATGGTTATAAAGCCTATAGTCCTTAGAATTTTCTGAATAACGTATATAAGAATACTTAGTAGTTTTACTTTGTAGTTTATCTTTATTTTGTGGTGGTATAAGCACGTGTGCTAAAAAATCTCAAATTTCAAGATACTTAAGTCTTGTTTCTTACCAATCCATAATTCATAGTGGGTTAAGTTTATGACTTTAGTTGAAACATGGTTAATAATGTACATTGCATTGTTGAGTGCCTTACCTAAAACATGGAGGTGATAAATCTAAATGGCTCATCATTGACCTAATCATATCCAT